GGAGGGGGTTAGGGGGGACTAAGCTGTAAAACAAAATTCACTGTATGACAGTTCAATATAACACCATTGTAGTTCCCTAGTTGATAATTTGGTAAATCAATGTTCCAATACTCTTGCAGAAATAAAATTCCAAGTTAACCATCTAAATAAGAATACTTGCACCGTCAGCTTGTAACAAAATATATAAGTAGCTCTCTCTATTTCAGTCAGCTTTCTCCAATTTGCAGAGTCCCTTGTGTGTACCAAAGGCAATTTAAACTGTTAACAAAGCCATTACATATCCTTCACTCAGTTCCTCCTTATGGAGAGCATACGTTTTTGAAGTCACTGTTCCTCATTTATACAGACAACCATAGGATCGCAAAACACAGTAAGAGGCCATTTGATTCAATTTTTCGTGTTGGTGTTTTTTCCTCCAAGAAGTCAACAATCTTAATCTGACTGCCTTGCTCTTACTTTGGGAACAAATTGGGAACAGTAACAGCAACTGATTGGACCAAGGGATCATTGATACGGTGGAGTCCTGTATCTCAGTGGTTAGAGCACTCACCTCGCAAGTGAGAGGATCTGGGTTTGATTCCGGGCAGCGCAAAACATTGGGCAAGACCTTCTAAAACTAGGGGTCATAGTCTCAAGATTAAGGGTCAGCCTTTTTGAACTGAGGTGAGGAAATATTTCTTCACTCAGAGGGTAGTGATTTTGTGGAATTCTCTACCCTAGAAGGCTGTAGACGCTCAGTCCTTGAACATATTCAAGACTGAGATTGATAGATTTCTAAAGGATAGAGGGATTAAGGGATATGGGGATAGAGAGGGTAAATGGAATTAGATTAGAAGATCAGCCATGATCTTATTAAATGGCGGGGCAGGTTCGAGGGGCAGAATGACCTACTCCTGCTCCTAAGTCTTATGGTCTTATGGTCCTTTTATGGTCCTTTTACCCTCTCATGCACTTTTTAAAATGCCCAAATTGACTGTTCTAATAGCAAATCACTCCATGTTCTGACAACCCTCTGAGAGGAGTTCTTCAACATTTCTCTTTTACTCTCCTAGTCACAATCTTGAATTAATTTCCGCTTGTTCATGATTCGCTACCAGTCTTTCCATCTTCATGAGCTGCCAATGTACAATTGAAAAATTTTGACCATTTATTCACATCACAAGCTCTGTGTTACAGCTCGGCAATGGAATCAGGCTGTCAAAAGAGCCAACACATTCTTTCAGTGATAACAGGTACTTAGTTACTTCTGGGTTCATAATGGGAGAGGGATAGTTAAATTATATTTCAAAAGAAAAAAAGACTAATTTAGTGAGAACCGCGATAAAATCATAGTAAAAATTTGTCGTAGTTACAGCATCATTTTATTTAATAAGCTATACCTGATAAACCTCAGATGAAAGATTTCCCTTCCTATGTGGGACACCAGGCAGGCAATGATTGAATCACTACTGATTTGGTGGCTAACATTTATAGAGCACAACAAGTTAGTTTCAGGGATAACTTCATTTTCACAAATGTAGTCTGAAGAGACGTAAAGCCTGGATTTGCTACTTGTAGCAAACTGAAATACAGTAGTGTATGTGTTTTACAGGACAGGTTCCAGAGGTAATTATTTGCATCCAAAGCTCTCATGGTAGTAATTAAACTTTTTATTTTGTTTAATAACTTCACATTGTATTACATTGTATCACATGAAGTTGTATATTTTGCTTTGACAACATTTACAGTACACCCTAATGTTGCACTTGTAGGTCATACACAACAAGGTCAGTTTTTGTTGTGGCCATTAAATGGGAGATGGATGATAAGGTGAAGAATACATAGATGGTGGGTTTTGCCCCTATTCCTGCGCTGTTTGAAGCAGAAGCTGATGTCAGTAATTTAATACACACAAAATAAATCCTTACATTAGTATCTTTTAAGAATAGGCTTATCTATGCCATCTAAAGGACCACAACTTTCATGAAAAGTGTTTGGTTAAACCTTTTATTTTTAATTGTTGAGGGGAAATAGTTGTGCTTCATTTTTATCACAGTTGTGTCAAGTGCAATGCAATGATGCATTTGATGTCATTTACATTATGTTTATAATAAATAATAACGCTTCTTGATATAGCACCTCATTGTGTTGACATGCATCAAAGCTTTTCACACAATGAGTTACATTGAAGTGCAATTACTGTTTTTGTAGTGGAAAATGGCATTTAATGTACATCATTAAGTGGAGTCCTGTTGCTCGTGATTAGAACACTCGCCTTGCAAGCGAGAGACCTGGGTTCGATTCCCAGCAGGGCAAAACATTGGGCAAGTTTCCTTACTCCACACGCCTGATAATAATCCCTCAAGAAAAAAATAGTAATCGGATCACTCAATCCACAACTGTTTGTGGGACACTGCTGTGCATAATTGGCTGCTGGGTTTCGCCCACAAATATACAGTCAATTCTCTTTACAGTATATTCTGTGAAGCACTTTGAGATGTCTCAAAGACGTGAAATATATATCAAAGGCAAGGATTATTATTATCAGCATCTAACAAACAGCAATGACCAATTAATTACTGATTAATTTGCTTTTTTGTGTTCCAAATTTGAATGACTTAGAAACATTAACAACTAATACAGACAGATGGGATCTTGGTTAAAAATCTCAGTTGATGGTTGATAACCCCTACAATATAGCACTCCTTCAGTTTTACACCACAGTTCCAGCCTAGACTTTTTTAGCTCAAGTTACTTTGTGCGATTTATACCACAATGCTATACCACAATGCTGTAACAAGAGGTGAGAGAGTTATACGCTGAGCAGACCCAGTATGTTTGCAAACAAATAAGAAAAAGTTTGTCAAACACTTTCTGATGGAAACAGTGGTGTCTTCTCTGCTCCACATAGAAGGTGGTTTTAAAACTTGTCAGTTGTCTGTTTTCATTTTTCTCTTGAGAATTTTGTCAACTGATAGCATAAAAGGTTTTCTGAAGTGTTCTGAACTCTAAGGGCACTAAGGAACCTCTGGTGATAATGGAACCCAGGTTTAACTTTCTTTCGTCTCAAGACCTCCAGGCATTTTTTTAAATGTTGTAATTGCACAAAGGGTTCACTAGGTGTCACACATACAGGATTACTGTTGCTTTCTACTTTGTGAACAATTACTGATTGTGAGCAATTTCACAAGTTTTCTCATTTCTCGGATCTTAAATTACACTTTTTTTAAAACAAAAATGAAAGCTTTTTAATTTGAAAGGGAACCGATATTCATCCGACCAATATTTTGGAATACCAAGATGTTTCATGACATGAATCGAAGAAAACTGTTTATAAGCAGAAAAACAACAAAGTAAAAAAATAACTACTCTTCACAGTTTAAGAAAAGAAGATTAAACCGCCAATTGAAATGGAAGCAACAACAACAAAATTACATTTGTATAGCGTCTTTCACATCGGGAGGACGTGCTAATGCGCTGGACAGTCAGAGTTTCAGACCCGAGCTGGGGGTCGGGATCGGGGAGGGTGGAGGGTAGTGGGGGAAGCAGAGTGATCGAAAGCACGGTCAAAGAGGAGGGTCTTGAGATGGGTGAAGCAGTAAAGCAATTCAAGTTCCTTTGGAGGAATGTTAAAGCATTTCAAATCTTACCTAATTAAACTATTGCACAAAGCAACTGAGACAATCGAACATGAACAGCAGCAGAAACCATATTAAAAGGTTCGTTCCTAGGACTGTAATCTTTTAAGTAAATGAAACACATCAATCCATATTTAACATTTCAGCAGCAGTATGTAAATGTTATATTGTGCTTCCCATCTCCTGCAAAACCAGTGCAGTTTACCAGAAATGTGATACTCTTTATTGATACACAATTAAATTGAATTAACTGGAACGCATTCCCCCTTTTCCGCTCCTGAATTAGTGCTAGAGCTCTACACTAAATGTCAGGGTAAAATAAGTTTTGCGCCTACAATGTCACCCACCGTCTATGAGCTGAAAGATTGCAACTGGATGAAGTTTTAAATACAAGATAATGGGCAGCCACAAAACTATGTACACGCTGCTCTATCCCCTCGAATGGTGGTATTGACCTGAGTTCAATTCCAGGCAGAGGGCGAAACCTTGGGCAAGTTTCCTTACTCCACACTCCTAATAATAATAATCCCTCCAAAACCAAAAACAATAATAAATTGGTCATTTTCAATCTACGACTGTTTGTGGGACACTGCTGTGCGCAATTGGCTGCCGCGTTCGCCCCCAAGTATACAGTCAATTCACTTTACAGTATATTCTGTGAAGCGCTTTGGGACGTCTGGAAGACGTGAAAAGCACTATATCAAAAATGCAAGGATTTTACAACCTAAGGCTCAATAAAGTGCTGACATAAATGATCAGTGATGGATTTCAAGCTTCTTAAATGGTGAGTTGCAATAAAAAGCAGAGCTCAGCATTAGTCAGTGCAAGTTTCAAACCTGATTCACATGCAGCAACGGGTAAGTGTCAAACATTCGTGTTGCTATACTCAAAGCTGCAATGATTCTCTCACTCAGATGGTCATCGACAACATTATTCCCGTCTCACATTCAAGTTGAGAATGAATTCTCCTCTCGTCACTTCCACTGCTGCCTTGAACTCTGTGTCTACTTCATGATGGGCACTGTGCTCGGGGTTTGATGCTGAGTTTCCGCAGTTGTTTACCTTATCGGAGATGCTCTGAAATTTGGAGCAGTTACTGACTGGGGAATTCGGGAACCTGACGGTACAGATTGTTGAAGAGCGACTTACAGCTAAACTTTGATACCTGAGCAAAACGACACGTCCAACGTAGTAATGTGTAGTGTTTTTCGTTTTTTTGCAAAGAAGTCTCGCAGATACGTAAAAGTGAATCAGAAATGAAGCAGTAAACGTTTAACTCATCTCAACAGCTGCATCGCCAGCTTTGGGGTACGTGACATCCTCCACAAACATCCCGAGCAAACACCGGCCCTGTTATACACAACACTGTGCTACAATGCTTACCCTTGAAACCTGTAAGGGCTGCGTGTGATCTTTGCCACCTTGAAGTCTGAACCCCCAGGGCGACCCTCCGCCGAGTGTAACACACACATAATCCCCGATGCCCATAGAGGTGACCTCACCTCTCACAGCGCTTCGGCTGCTGCGAGTTGCTGAGCTGCTGAGATGCCGAGCGCTCAGACTGGGCTCCGGGCTCCGGGCTCTGAGGGCTGCAGCTGCAGCTTCACTGGGGCTCTGAGGAGAGGGCGGTCTCACTCATCACATCTACCAACCACTTACAGCACTACAGTAACGTCAGAACCAGCAGCTCAACCCCTCACATCGAGAGAGAGAGCGAGAGAGAGAGAGAGAGAGAGGGTGGGGGGGGGGGAGTCATCCAGATAGTTGCACACTGTAAACACAGCGCAGCAAATCGGGGGTAAATCAACATAAACAGCAGAAAGAGGAAATGTGAGAGGGGGTGGGGGGGGGGGGAGCAATGTAAATTCAAAGCGAAGAGCAGCCCTGCTCAGCCCATGTAGCAAAAAGCTCCTCCCATACCAATGAAAGCACACAAAACACTTCAGCTGAAATCCATTGGGAAAATATTCCAACGAGCATATAAACTGAAAGTGGGAAATAAGGAGGTCTTGACTATCAAAACAGCAGAGAAAGTCTGAAAACTGCACACTGGAGGATAGGAGCAAAACATTGCACTAACCTGACCTGACCTAATATACAGTTATTTGAAAAGCATGGACAGACTCAAACAAGGTACATGTAGTGAGAAGTTTGGGGCTAAGAGTGGAGTTTGGCTGACAAACATCTTACTTGCACAATCTTCATGGACGGGAAGACAGAAAAGCTAAAACCAAGGAACTTTTATCCGTTATAAAAAAAATCGGATCACTCAAGGGTCATTTGACACTGGAGGAGTTGCAACAGGATCCCAGAGCTCAGCAGCTCACCCACAGACTCCTCAACCAGCAACGTCTCACCATCACAGAAAATATTCAGAATCAGTACAAAGCGATAGCATTGTGGAGCTGCGAAACATCTGCACCGTTAGTTTGGGCCCAGGAATGAGAAAAACAAACAAAACTCAGAACCAAGAGGCCAGCGCACTGTTAAAGCCAGCGGGACTGAGAGAAACTACACTTGAGAAAAGACGAAAAGAAGGATATCTTTTTTGGGGGAAAAAAAAGTGAAAAAAGAAACACTGTGGATTTTAAGGAGGCAGACTTCACTGCTGCAAATGGAGTTCTGATAAAGAATTGTACCTCACGTGATGACTTTGTTTTTTCAAATGAAATTTCCAAATGCTTTGGATTTCAGATTTTTTCTGCTATTTAATTCACTGTAGCTTCTCTCAGAATTGCTATCTCTGAAGAAATTCTGTTCACTCCCTATCATTTACTCCTTTCCCTTGCAATACATTTGCCTTTTTTGTTACCCTTCCCCTCATTTTGACAGGGGTTCTGGTGAAGGGTCTTGCTTAAACAATTCACTTTCAAACGAAGATCGATCTACTATAGATATACAGCATTTGTTTTTATTTCAATATGAGTTTTTAAAAAATAATTTCCCCTCCAATTTTCTTACTCATTTTCTTTCTCTACTCCCCCTCTCCTGAAGACAGCTCATGGGCTTGCTTGCTGGAAAGTTCTCCAAAGAATGGCGGGAAACATCCAACAGAGGGTTTTTGAATGTTATCAAAGTTGATCAAACAAAGGGTCTTTAATAATATTAAAAAGTAACATCAGATATTAATGTTGAAGAGGATTCAAGAGGGGCTCGAAGCTTGTGTCCTTGATGCATAGGACATGAGCGCAGGTGGTACCTGTGCTCTGTTGGACATTATAGTTGTCGGCACCCTCAACCCGCCTCGGCAATCTCACCACACCAGAAGTGTAAGAACATCTCATAAAGGCTCTACAGGAAACATGTGAGATAGTGAGTGATCATTGGCTGCATTTTCATGAGTATCAGGTAGTTGAAGGGCCTGTGGACACAAAAACCAATGGTCCATGAAGTGGCTCTGACCGTTGACCAGGCCCTGCTGGCAGTGGAAGTCAGAGTGTGCCCAGCTAATCTTGTCTGGGGGAATATATTCTATGGAAAATCTACACCCTGGCATGTGGCATCAGTATACATTCTTCAGAAGTCAGGTTGGACCAGTACACCTTGTGCTACAAGTGACCACGTACGTGAGGGGTATTGCCAATCATCATGCCTAGGACCAATTCTGTGTGAGGGCTGACAGCGCAGACTTGACGATTGACGATGTAGCTAAGGAGTTTCTTGCTTCTGTAGCTGAGGTCATAAGGAAACTAAAGCTACAACCTGTAAGGTACTCGTCCCTATAGCAGGATCCTGTCAAGGTAACCAGAAAGGGAAGGAAAGCTATTAATCCGAAAGCAGGGGGCCTTTAAATTGGTTTGGGAAGTTCCCTTGGAGCAAGCCAAACCAGCAGCAAAGGCAATTTACAAACAACAAAGCACGAAGGTTACTGGAGAAATTAAGAAGGATCAATGGGTTGTGTCACTCCAAAAGATGTAGAACTGCACAAGAATGCTCCCAAATCTTTCTTCCGCTGGCTGAAGTCTGTTGTTGGTCATAGCCAGAGGGGGCCGCTCTGGGCTTGTGCCTGTGTTGGACAAGTCCAGTGTTTCACAATAGCCCCATGAAGGTATCCTTGGGGTCTGGAGAGAGTATTACGTGGAGTTGGGTGTGGGGGGGGGGCGGTCCTCCTCAGAGCTGAACTTGATCCAAGGTGATAACAGAATGTCAGAATCGAGCCAGGCCTCTGGGTGGTTTCAGAAATCCAATAGCTGAGCCAGTCAGGTGGTCTGCAGTATTCCAGGGCACTGCTGATGGCAGCACAGCCAGCCTGGCTCATCGACAGGACTTGAAAAGGCACACCACTCACTGGGAACAGAGAGTGGTTCCACCCAGCTTCTGTTAACCTTGCAAGCCAGAGTCCTAACAGGTTGGATGATCCTAGCTGGACAACCAGCAGGTAAGTTTGGAAGGCAATGCTCTCAGTGGCAAAATGTGCAGCTTTAGGTGGTTAAACTCCAGCAGTACCGCAGGGCACAGTCTGGGATCCCCAAGCCTTGGCTCTTGCCAATCTGTGTCTAATACTCTCCAGAATTAGGCAAGCAGGAAGTATCACTCCAGGGAGAGACTGGACTCCAAGAAATACCTCTGAAATTCCCATGTATAGTTGGGATGCATGCATCTCTCAATTTGATTTGGATACTCTTAAAAATGATAATAGGTTTCTACTTGTGTCGGACATTCGGCTGACCCAAAAAGGTGGTTCAACATTGACCTGGAGTTTGTTTTTTAATGACTGGTTTGTGTATAAACTAAACTTCCTGCTCCACAATACTGTACTGCTTGGAGCAAGGAGACTCCACACACAGTTTATAGTTTACGCACTACCTTGTGTGAAGAGCACTATAACAAATGCCAGTTATTGTTGTTGTTTTTGTTGTGTACATTTGTTTGGTTTAGTGGGTCTGATGGTTTAGATGATAAATGAAAAAATGTCATGTTTTTCTACTTTTAAAACGTCCACAGGAGCATCACATTGTTAAAGTGTCCCTGCGAGCAGTTTCCTATGAACAACACCATAAAAGATGAAACTCAAGGGCTCCAGATCTTGATCTGTTTTTTAGTGAAAGGTTGCACTGTGTACAAATGCAGTAATTAACCATTTTCCTGTGCATTTCCTGTGTACCATCATAAACCGAAAAATACCCGAAAAAGTAAGGAAACATTGCAAATAGGTCACTAATTTCTTAGTTAGTAAATAAACCCCGTATATCAAGACACAGCTTTTTATGTTTCTCCAGTATATTTAAATGTATTTTTTCAAATAAATCTTTAGACTTGACCTTTATTATAGGAAGAAATATTGCTTCCTGTTGCTTAGACACAACTATTTGTTGACTTAATGGCCTGTCAGTGTTCAAATTTTATCTCATTTCTAATCTTTCAAACTTCTTCAATTCCTTAGTCCTGTAGCTCAGTGGTTAGAGCACTCACTTTGCAAGCGGGAGACCCGAGTTCAATTCCAGGCAGGGCGAAACCTTGGGCAAGTTTCCTTACTCCACACGCCTAATAATAATCCCTCCAAAAAAAACAAAAACAATAATAAATTGGTCATTTTCAATCTACGACTGTTTGTGGGACATTGCTGTGCGCAATTGGCTGCCACGTTCGCCCACACATATACAGTCAATTCACTTTACAGTGTGTTCTATGAAGCGCTTTGGGACATCCTTCCGACGTGAAAAGCGCTATATCAAAATGCAAGGATTATTATAGGATTAGTCAGCAGTTTCAGCACTCCAGAACATTTCTATTGCTTGAGAAAGAGGTTGCAGCCCTGGCAAAACTTATCCTGGACTCACTATTTTATGTAGTGTCGGGCATGTAAACCGATTGACCACATTTTTTTCATTGATTGATTGCATAAGTTGCACTTAATGGACAGCCAAAATACAACATAAATAGGGATCGTGAAACAATTGGTACTGGTGACCATCTGTGAAGATTACCTTGAGAAGGTTGTTTTGTCAGGACATTGGTTCTATCAATGAATTATAAGCAAGGCTGATGTGAATTGATTTTGGTATCCACTCAATAATGATCTTTTAAAAATCTCTTGTGTTATTTAATAGAACTTTTTCACCATTATTAGATAATAATTTGGTCACTTCAGTCCACGACTGTTTGTGGGACACTGCTGTGCGCAATTGGCTGCCGCTTTTCATCCACAAATATACAGTCAATTCACTTTACAGTATATTCTGTGAAGCGCTTTGAGACGTCTAGAAGATATGAAAAGCGCTATATCAAATGCAAGGATTAATATTATTATTAAAGAGTTGGTCACACTCCGAATCCTTATAATTACATTAAAAACTGATGTTCAGTGCCTAGCAGAAACCCACACATGAGCTTAGCTACATATATGGAGTTCTCTCCTTATCCTCAAACCATTGCAAAGAAACTTAGTAGTATAAACAACAACAACAACAAGATTGCATTTATAGAGCGCCTTTCACGTCGGGAGGACGTCTCAAGGTGCTGGACAATTGGGTCGGGACCCGAGCAGTGGGGGAAATGGTCAGGGTGAGGGAAGGGAAGGGAGGGAGTGAGGAGGGGAGGTAAGGGAGGGAGCGAGGAGGGGTTAGAGAGTCGAGAGGGGAGCTGAAGGCACGGTTGAAGAGAAAGTACACACTGCTTAATTTGGGCTAGAAGCAATAAGGCCATGTTTTATGGTCTTGGAGGATTTGCTGAAAGCAGCCAGGAGATCTCACAATTTGATTATGTTCAATTAAGTTAACTGGGCCACAGAGGACAAATCACAGAGGACAAATCAGCATAATGTTCTGTGTCTTCTGGGTACCAGTTTAGCGGAGAGGGCTTGGAACAGGTCACAAAATTGCAAGGATAAGGAAGGTTTGGATGAAGACGGCCCTTTGGCGCTTCAGTACATTAATCTCATCCTGCTCCATGTCTCCTTCCTGACCCGCCCTACCATCGGTGGCTGGGCTTTCAACCTCTCTGTCTCCACACTCTGGAACTCTATCCCACGGTCCCTTCGCCTCACTTCCTCCTTTGCCTCCTTCAAGGTCGGTCTCAAGACCATCCTCTTCAATTGTTCCTTCACACCTCTCTGCCTTCCCTCAGCCCTATCCCACCCCTCCCCCATGCTCGGATCCTGCCCCATGTCTGTCCAGCACCTTGGGACCTCCTACCCGACGTGAAAGGAGCTCTACAAATGTTGTTGTTGTGCGGCATTATTGGACTGTGCAGCATTATTGGACTGTGTAGGGCATTACTGGGGTGTGTGGGGTATTACTGGGGTGTGTGGGGCCTTAATAGTCTCTCCAAAAACAAAAACAATGATAAATTGGTCATTTTCAATCCACGATTGTTTGTGGGACACTGCTATGTGCAATTGGCTGCCGTGTTTTACCCACTTTTATACCGTCAATTCACTTTACAGTCTATTCTGTGAAGCGTTTTGAGACGTCGAGAAGACATGAAAAGCGCTATATCAAATGCAAGAATTATTATTATTATATATTATTACTTCCTATGACATCAACAAGTTGAATTTTAAAGGAGTTCAACATCCGGGCTTCAACTACCCTTCCTGGCAACCTGTTTCAAGCAGCAATTCCTATTAGGGTAAAGAAAGAATTCCTAGGGTCTTCCCTGAAATTGCCCTTTGCAACTGTAGATCTGTTCTTTTATTCTACTATCTTGGTTTTAGAATCAAAGAAATTTACAGTGAAGAAGGGGGCCATTCAGACATTCAAGTGTGCACTGGTTCTCAGAGCAAGCTGTTGTCTTGTCTCATCCCCATATTTTTTCACAAGAATTGAACTTTAATATATCTGTTTAATAGATACATAAGGGAACAGAGTAGTATGATTGTAGAAGAGGCATATCTAACCCTCCTAACCCCCTACCAACCCGCCCGCTCCCTCCGCTCAGCCGGCTCCGGCCTGCTCCACGTCCCCCGACCCACCCGCCCCACCATTGGGGGGGAAAGCTTTCAGCCACTCTGCCCCCAACCTCTGGAATCCCATCCCCCAATCACTCTGCCTCACCCCTCCTTAGCTTCCTTCCAAGTCCAGCCTCAAACCCTCCTCTTCGAACATGCCATTGGTCACCCCCCTTCCTCTCCCGTCCCTTCTCCCCCCTGACCCCAGCTCGGGACTGAAATGCTGCACACTGTCCAGCGCCTTGGGACGCCCTCCCGACATGAAAGGCGCTATACAAATGTAATCTTGTTATTGTTGTGACCCCGGTCTCTCCGGGTTGCCCCGGTGACCCCGGTCTCTCCGGGTTGCCCCGGTGACCCCGGTCTCTCTGGGTTGCCCCGGTGACCTCGGTCTCTCCGGGTTGCCCCGGTGACCCCGGTCTCTCCGGGTTGCCCCGGTGACCCCGGTCTCTCCGGGTTGCCCCGGTGACCCCGGTCTCTCCGGGTTGCCCCGGTGACCCCGGTCTCTCTGGGTTGCCCCGGTGACCCCGGTCTCTCTGGGTTGCCCCGGTGACCCCGGTCTCTCTGGGTTGCCCCGGTGACCTCGGTCTCTCCGGGTTGCCCCGGTGACCCCGGTCTCTCCGGGTTGCCCCGGTGACCCCGGTCTCTCCGGGTTGCCCCGGTGACCCCGGTCTCTCCGGGTTGCCCCGGTGACCCCGGTCTCTCCGGGTTGCCCCGGTGACCCCGGTCTCTCCGGGTTGCCCCGGTGACCCCGGTCTCTCCGGGTTGCCCTGGTGACCCCGGTCTCTCTGGGTTGCCCTGGTGACCCCGGTCTCTCTGGGTTGCCCTGGTGACCCCGGTCTCTCTGGGTTGCCCCGGTGACCCCGGTCTCTCTGGGTTGCCCCGGTGACCCCGGTCTCTCTGGGTTGCCCCGGTGACCCCGGTCTCTCTGGGTTGCCCCGGTGACCCCGGTCTCTCTGGGTTGCCCTGGTGACCCCGGTCTCTCTGGGTTGCCCTGGTGACCAGCCCCTGGGTTCCCGTTGTCTCTGAGCGCTGACGTGGGCCTGCGAGTGCCGAGGGAGTGCGCGTGCGCAGTGTCGGCGGCGCGGGGCGGCTTGACGTGGCATTTGCTCAGCTGGTGCTGCACTAACCGGGAGCCGCGCCGCGAGGGACAGCCCGAGCCTGGACCCCCCCATCCCGGCACCGGCACCGGCCCGGCACCAGCCCGCCCTGCCCGCCCTGCCCGGCAGCCTGACACCTCACAAGGTAAATGTACATCGCGGGTATCTCCGCCCTCTCCCCGGATGGATATTCTGCATTGTTTTTATTCGGGTTAAAATGCCTGATTTGTTTACAGTGTTGTTTTTTTGCCTCTCATTGTGCTCACGGGCTCTGACTGACTGACTGACTGACAGCTGTTACCTCAGTGAAACTCTGTTGCGAGTTGTGTGTTGTTTTATACACTGGGTAGAAAGGTTCAATAATACATTGACTTGAAGCGTGTGGGAGTAGTTTGACGTGGCAATTCATTCACTGACTGACTGCTCATAACCAGACTGAGTTGTCACTTTGGCCACAGAGGTTCAGGGCTGTGCAACACACGAATATTTATTTCCTTGATCATTTTCAGTGAAAACAAATTCTCCTTTTTAAGCACTTGACACTTGATTTTCTTTCTATCCTTCATATATTTTTTAAAAAGTTCATTTTCCAGACAAAGTGAGGCCTTTGCACCCACCATTCACTGTGATGTACAGTGGTCTAACATACATAATGTTTGCACAAGTTCCTGACCAAATAATGGATTAAACTATCCCGCTATGAATGTTTAGACATGCTCTTGCGAAAATAATGTTATTTCCATATTCTCAGGTTTGTTTTTGCTTTGTGGCAGATTTTCCAGCTGGGAGTCTGAGGCCGATCAAACTGTGAGCTCTTCCAAAACTGCCACTGTGGCATCACCAAGAAGAGGTTTGTTGGAGCTTCATCTCATTTTTGTTTGTGAGATGTTCCTGGCACTGATGAGCTGTAGTGTTTCCCATATCAACAATAGTCACTGTACTTCAATAACAGTAACAACAATAATAGCAAAAGTATCATCTTGCACTTTCATGGTGCCTTTCACAAAACATGAATGTTTTGAATTGATCACAATAATGGTAGCAATCACTGAGCAGGGAGGGTGTTAGAGTAAGTAAATAGTAATATTCCTTATGTTTGACATAGCCCCTTATCATGGTGTTGAAACATCTTAGAGTGCTTCAAAGAGTTTTACTGTAATGTGTAGTGTTTGACTGAATTTGCAGGTTAAAACTGGTAGCTTCTTTACATATAATAATAATAATAATCCTTGTATTTGATATAGCGCCTTATCATGTCCTTGAGACGTCTCAAATCACTTCACAGAATATACTGTAAAGTGAATTGACTATATTTGTGGGCGAAACGCGGTAGCCCATTGCGCACAGTAGTGCCCCACAAACAGTCGTGGATTGAGTGTCCAATTTTTTTTTGAAAGAATTATTACCCCCGGAAAACCGATCCGTCAATTGACCAATTGACTAATAACCGGGTTCCTACTTACTACTAGGTAAACAGAGGCATGTGGAGTAAGGAAACTTGCTCAATGTTTCGCCCTGCTGGGAATTGACCCCAGGTCTCTCGCTTGCGAGTGCTCTAACCACTGAACTACAGGACTACACAAGTCCATAATGTCCCACAAACAGCCATGAAGTGCATGAACAATTTTATCTGGGATTTGTTAGCCAGGAGAAATTCCCTTCACTTTTCAAATTGTGCCATGTCGTCTTAATGGCCACCTGAATAGGCAAACGGGCATTTGGTTTAACATCTCACCTGAACTATGGCACCTCCTAAAATTCAGCATTCCTTGGGCAAGTTTCCTTACTCCACACGCCTAATAATAATCCTTCCAAAACAAAACAATAATAAATTGGTCATTTTCAATCCACGACTGTTTGTGGGACATTGCTGTGCGCAATTGGCTGCCGCATTTCGCCCACAAATATACAGTCAATTCACTTTACAGCAAATTCTATGAAGTGCTTTAGGACGTCCTCCCAACGTGAAAAGCGCTATATCAAATGCAAGGATTATTATTATTATATAGAAGACGTGAAAAGCACTATATCAAATGCAAGGATTATTATTATTATATAGAAGACGTGAAAAGCACTATATCAAATGCAAGGATTTATTATTATTATTTATTCCCCCATTATTGTATTGGAGTGGCAGTCTGGACTATGAGCTCAAAATGGTGGAATGTGGGGTTTGAACCCACAACGTTCTGACTCAGAGACAAAAGTGCTATCATCTAAGCTAGGTTGACATCTGAGCCAGCTTGACCCCTGATAAGGTGCTATCCAGGATTATTATTAGTTGGATATTGTCTGAATGTTCTATTAGTATTTCCCATATCTGGCTCCAAAAGAAATGCATTGCTCAAGGTAGTGGCCTGGCTGAGACTTGACATAATTCAGCTGATCAAGTATTCATTTTATTGTTCATTTGACATTTCCAATGGCCAGCTCACCAGTTTTCCCAGCTCTACCATCTGCAAGATCCAGATTATCCAAATATCCGCAGCCTGCATTCTCTCCCACACAAGGCTCCACAAGCCATCGTCCCCATCCTCATCAGGCTCTACTGGCTCCCAATTCCCCAGTGGATTGAATTTAATATCCTTGTTCTTTCTTTCACATGTCTTCTCGGCCTTGCCCCAGTCTACCTCTGATCTTGTGCAGTGTTATTCCTCTGCTTTCTCCCTTTGCTCTACTGACTTAGGCCTGCTTCTTGTCCTCTGTCCCACAATTTGTAGGCTAGCTTTCAATCATTTTACCCTCTCTGAAACTCTCTTCCCGAATCCCTCTTCCTAGCTTTTTCCTATGCGTTCAAAACTTTACTAGAATGCTATTTCTTTCACTGTGTCTCTAACCTCCTCCCATCTACTCCCCATTTTCCACCCTGTTTGGGCTCCCACTCCATCTCTGTGAATTGCTTTGAGATGTCATTCTATATTAAGATGCTATATAATTGCATGTGCTTGCTTTTGATCAAGGCTGGAAGGATAGACTATTGAACTTCAGAGTGCAAAACTATAGCCTAATGTTTGGAAAAATTATACAATACACGACAATCCCATTAGAATGCCTCCTCGTTGAATGCAGATTTATTAAGAACACAGATCTATGCTAATTGTAAATATCCAGCTACCAGTAGTGACTAGCCAACGACCTATGATTTTTTAAAAAAGACCAACTTCCAGCTTGCACAGTTGCTACTGATATCACTTCCTGTGTGCATGAGCAGTAACATACCACAATGTGCCACCCAGTATTTCTTAATGGTATAAATTTACAGCATATACATTTGTGAAGAATGTAATCTGGATTTTGCTGCAGAAAGCAGTCTATTTAATGTAGAGTATTTGCAAGAGGAGATGTGTATACAGTAGTTATACAAACAGCTGCCTGCACAATTGTAGAATATGTCCATTACTATTATATTAGACTCCAAATACTATGTGGTCTTAGCTTGTAAGAACATTTTGTCTTAAAGTTTAACATCACAAAGAATTGTGAAAAATTCTAAAATTCAGACTTGATTTGAAATCTATTAATCTGATTCTATTTAAGAACTATAGAAAACTGTCTTTTGAACTAAGAATAAATTTAAGAATTTGCAAAATGAGATTTCGGGCTTGTTAAACTGTAATTGATGAAATAGTGTATGAATGTTATTCATTTAATTTGTACAATAAAGAATGATTCTAACATGTAAGGATGAGAAGCCAACCTATTTAGATGAACAACCCTGAAGTCAGTCCAATGGGTGATCTTTATTCATTCTCACAATTTATTTTTTGATCAGTCAACATAGCCAGGGCAGCAAAAGATGCTAAAGATGCATGCCCTTCTTGGAACTTCAATAGCAAACATGGCAGACAATTTGTGCACAGCAATGTCCCACAAACAACCGTTAAGTGAATGAACAATTTTATCTGGAGGATTGTTGGCTAGGACATCAGGAGAAACTCCTCTTTTTTTCCAATAGTGTCATAGGATCTTTACCATTCAACAGCAGATGAGGCAGATGAGACTTTGGTTTTGACATGGAATCTGAGGGATCGCACCTTCAGCAATCCACTGCACCCTGTCGTGTCAGCCTGGACTGTGAGTTCAAAGTCCCATTGTTGGGGTTTGACCCCACAACTCTCTTACTCAGAAGTGAGAGGGCTACCAAGTGAGCCATGCTGGCAGCACTGATATTTGATAATTGAGAATCATCATCAATTTGTAATCGAGAAAGGTATTTCTTCTGAGTAAACAATGACAGAGGTTTGGTGATACCTTGACTGTTCCCTGAAGTAACTTGAGCCATTCACCTAGATTTCTGAAACAAATGTGTCACTTGGCAATTTGTAGCAAATAGAATCAACATACAGCAGTTCAATAATTTGTGAACCTAAATTCTGATTTGTATTTTTCCCTTGCAGGTTTCTTAAGGGTTTTTGTCGTTTAAGGAATGAACATATTCTGAACAAAGGATGAGTCAACAAGGATATGTAGCAACTCCGCCTTACTCTCAGGCTCAGCCTGGAATGGGAGGCTATCCAGCCGGCTTTGGGTCAGCAGCTTCCCAGTCTCACTATACCCACTACAGTGGAACAGGTCAACCTTATTCTATACCTCAAGGAGGTAAGATGCTGGAGAAATACTCCTGAAATTCATCTTGCTTTCATCTCATCCCTGTTGAGGGGATGCCCATTATCCTTGTGAAACACTTTGAGAAGTTCATTCTGTGTGCAAGTCTATCTGTTGATTTCAGGCCTAGCATTACTGGCATTACTGGCTTGAGCAAGCCTGAAATAACTTGTTCTTTAGTTATAATAACAGTAATATTCCTTGCATTTGATATAGCGTCTTATCACGTCTTCGAGACATCTCAAAGTGCTTCACAGAATATGCTGTAAAGTGAATTGACTGTATATTTTGTGGGTGAAACACGGCAGCCAATTATGCACAGCAGTAATCCATGGCAAACATTGGTTACTCAATCCACAACAAACAGTCGTGGATTGAGTGACCAATGTTAAATTCTGAATTGTGCAGAGGGATAATGGTCATAGAAGTGATTAATTTGGGTTGTTAACCACATCTGAAGACCTTCCTCTTCAACCGTGCCTATAGTCAGCTTCCCTTCCTCCCTGGCTTGGGGTCCAACTATTCCATTGTTCAATATAAATGCATTGTTGTTGTCCAGATATACTGTATATCACTGGCAGCAAGAATGTGTGCGGTCTGGATAAAATAGCATTGAGGTTTGGATTCAGAATGTAATCTACTGCCAAACTGAAAACATATACATAGATAAACTCCAGCTAAGCCGGACCAATTGGGGTGAGGGGGGTGGGGGGAAATCCTGTCCCGGGAGCTGGAATTTCTATATAAGCGTAATGATAGTGCTGGTCCTGGCATTATTGGCATTTTTTCGGCACTGCAATTTTTTTTAATGTGTGAATAAGCTATCTTCTGCTTGTGTAGTCACTCACCAAAGAGGGCTACTACACACGGACACTGAAGGCTAGCAAATGAGGCTGGAAAAAATTCCTTGGGCTGCTCAGCCTGGCCGGCGTTAGTGCTTGTTGGGAGTCAGCAGTCTATGTACAGGCTGGTGGAAATTTTGGGCTTGTAAAAAATTTGTTAGAATTGTTCGGTTTGGGGCCCATTCCACCAAGATTCAAATTCTGGATACCCAGAATCCTACTGTAAGTCAGGGGTCTATACTGTAGATGAAACTCCCTGTAGTTTGATTTAGAGACTTGGGGATAGGCTTCTGCATGCGTCAGGCTCCCCACTGACCAAAAAAGTCAGTGATCAGTCCAGATCAAAGGGCTTTTTTGGCATTCAAGGAATCACAGCTGCAAAATAGAATAATGGTTGCAGTATATTATAATTATTTTTGTAAAACAAAAACTTTAGTTACTTTATTGGACTTCCACTTGAGATGCTGAGAGCTCACTTTCCAATATAATTCATTGATGTTTGTGCAGAAAATTTCAGTTTTTAATTTCCTTTTGCCTCTACTAATCAGTTTTATTTTTAAAATGAATATGTCTAATATCACTTACGCTAAAATTATGATATGGTTTCCTTTGATGAAAAAAAGTAGTTCCTCGAATAATGATATCATTGTATTTGCAATTTATTCCCTGTTACCTGACAGGGCATAAAATTAAAGAAGTTACACAAAACTGGCTTCAAAATTAAATCAGTAAGTTTTTTTTCAAAACTACATTGACTTCAAAGTTAAGACAAAATTCAACAATTTGTCAAATTTTGACATGCTACACAAATAGAGTAAATTTAGACCCTTGTAGAATTTCTCTCAATAGATGAAGTGAAAAACATTTGAACATCACCTAAACTTTGAGATCATGTTACAAATAATAACATGTTTTGCATGGAATGGTTTTCAACTTACAAGTGGTTTGGGTAGCTTAAAGTCTATTGGACTTATATAGTCTGCTACAAGCTTCCTCAAACACAAACAAAGTATTCAACAGCATGAATGCTCCAACAATACGTATTGTACAAGTCCTCCGGCACACCATGTCATATAGATGCTAGGGTCAGTGATAATGGGACAAACATTTTTTTTTAAGATCGTACTCCTGACAGTTGTTGCCCTCTTGAAATGGTGGAGCATGGCAAATCTGTGGAAGCAGATGGAGATGGTCAGAAGGCTGGTAATAGATTAAAATGTCACTGTTTATATTCTGCAGATTAAGAATCAAAAATGTTCTGTGCTATCTAACTTTCAAAAGATACATTTCCAGTACATCCTCTATGCCGTATATGTTGTATGCACTTACATCAGGTGAAACTGTTGTTCAGTGGCTAGGGATGTGTGTCCGATCTGTGAACAGGGAGATGGTGGAAGGCCTCTTACACGTTTCATGCTGAACTTTGCTGCTCACCAAAAATCTTACAGGGAGTTCCTAGTATCTGCATCCAACTAGTGCACTTGGTCAGATATCAAATGGCCAATGAGTGACTATCCTCCAGGTCTCATTAGGGCTAAATTGATGCCAAGGCGACATGAGTGACAAAGGGATATCAGAATTGAGTTGGCTCTCTGTGGTGGGCTTGGTACTCCACTCTCTGAGCTAGGTGAGTATATAGTACTCCAAGGCACTGATAACCAGCCAGCATGGCACATGGGCAGGAGTAGACCAGTCACTTGGGTTAAGGATTCTTCCCTACAGTTACTCCTGTTAACCCTACAAACCAAACCTTAGTGGGTAAGGGATCCTAGTGAGGCACACATTGGGAAGTTTGCCAGACAGAGCTTGAAATGGCTAACTATGCAGTTTTAGCTGGTTATGCTCTAGCAGTACCCCAACACACCCTCTAGGCTCCCCAAACCTTGTCTGTCAGTGAACAGTGCTCCACGTTGGGAATTTGAACTCATATAGTCTAGGCTGACACTCCAGTATACTGATGGGGGTGTGCTACATTGTTGGAATTGCCATCCTTCGGATGAGACATAAACCCAAGTACCGTCTGCTTTTACATAATACAGTTACTGCACTTTACAGCAGTAGCAGAGGTAAAGGGAAAGCGCGAGACTGCCATCACTCTCCACGCTGCCTCATGACTCTTACATTCTTGTCAGAGGAGTGGAGGGCGACGGAAAGAGAGCCCAAGTGGGAGGCATGAGGCATTGTGGAAGGTTGTGTCACTAATGACTCATCACAGCCCTCCAAACCCCCCCTCCCACCCCAACCCCTCCATGAGAAATTTGGCTCCATCACTGCTTTACAGTCTATCTTCTGAGATGCCCTAAGATACCCTTACCATGTAATAGGATTACTACTACTATTTTTAGTACTTTCTGGAATTAGGTACTACCATCTGGTGTATAATCAATGGATCAATAAGCAACTCAAAATCTACAAAAACAGCAACTTCACACAAAATATTCCATCTGTCTAAAAGTGTACCACTGTGCTTGTTAACTAGCTAACATGCTGTTTCCTGGAGTCTCTCCGACTCACCCGTTACACATTCAGAGCCCGCCTCAAGATGGGGTCTTGCCTCTTTGACAGTGCTTTTAGTCATGTTTCCTCTTCGCACCCTCTTCAGCTCCCACCCACCCCCAGTGCAGGTACTGATGGGAAAGGCACTATATGAATGTATTGAATTATTGTGGCATGATGCTTTAGTTTTTGCATGGATGTATTGTGAAAGATATATTGCCTGGTTGCTCTTTTTTGCCATGTGCCTGTATGGGGTTCAGAAAAGCTGTCACCATTTCATTTGTTGTTTTCCTTTGGATTTCGTCCCAGTAGTGGGAGTTCTAAAGCCTCCTGTTGAGATGATGTTGGTGGGGTGGTGGAGCTTTATACCACTGACCTCAACAGGCTTCATTATCTAAGTGCAGTCTTTTTCAAGACAGACAGACTTTTGGAACATTTTTGTTTTTCGGTTACCCAAGTTACTGGAGAAGGTGGTTGAGGATTTATATATATAAAAAGACTGATGCTATGATGGGAGGATGGCAGTGGAGTATTCTAGAATAATCAGATAAAATGGGCTTCTTTAGAACCAATCGTGATCTTGTGATTTAATTGATTTATTTTACTTTCAGGACCTTTAAAACCAATGCCTTCACCTCAAGGACCCCCAGTTTCCGCTGGTCTTCCACCACTTGGTCCCAATCCATTCGGTCAGCCCAGTGTACAGAATGGAATTTATAGTGCTGGACATCAGGCTCCAAGGTATACAGTTCAACATGTTAATGTCTCATCTAACAATATTCTGCATTTACTTGTTTTTGGAAACAAAACTCTCAAAAGCCTGCAGTGAAGCCGAGAAGATAAAATACAGTCTAACAAAATGAAGAGCATGTTATGTTTTGCAAAGTCAAGTTGGTTGATTGTCTGAAGATTGCCTACACTTACTTTCTTTGACGCTGGCAAACCACAAACCTCTGCAAGCTGATTTAGAGTGGAACTGTCTCTGTTTCCACTTTTAGTATTTATTCTCTTAGTAAACCACTGGAACAACACTGAGGTATTGAGAGGTCCCAGTAGTATGTTTCATTTGATTGCAGATTATTATTGTGTCTCTGGTTCAACAGCTGAATAGAAAGCTTTTTTACAGGATAGTTGATCTAGAATCTGTGCTCTTGACATATTGTAATTTCCTTTTTAAATAATACTGTATCATGATTCTTAATAAATAATTACCAGCAAATTGACAGCATAACAATATTGATTCTGAGATGCTTACGGGGCCTGAAATGTTTAAATCGTAAAACCCAGTTATAAGATTTGCACTATAGTATTTGGTTCAGGTCAAGAGTTTTTTTTAATTTAATAGGAAGTACAATTAATAATAATCCTTGCATTTGATATAGCGTCTTAGCACGTCATCGAGACTTCTCAAAACGCTTCACAGAATATACTGTAAAGTAAATTGACTGTATATTTTGTCAATGTTTGTGTTAATACGATTACTATCTGAGAATTGTGCTGAACTCGCATCCTCTGGTGCCTGAAGGGGTCACAAGACCAATTCTTTCATAATGTCAGAAACAAACTCTGGACCATAGGGCATTTGTATGCAGAATGTCAAAATCAGGTAAGAAATGTGGAGCAGGTAGCATAAATCCACCTACTTGTTCCATGTGACTTTACAGCTGGGAGCAAAGTAGCTTCACTTCTGGCAGTAAAAACACGGCAACATTGCAACTGTGAGAATGTCCATGTCCATTTTTCACCTGAATCAGGACCATATACAAATCTAAACTAGTGGTCATAACTCAAAACAAATCTCTAGCAAATGAGAATATATCTCTTGGTGATAATTGACTTCTTATTGTATTTCTCTTAAAAATGTAATTCCAGATTTGCTGCTCCTCAGTCAAGTAGTGGTGAGCTACCTGTTCTTCACCCTCATGGTATTCACCACCCAGCGTCTGTGCAACAGAATACGGCACTGCCTCCATTCACACAGCAAGTGACCAACCAACTTGGTGCCATGCAAATAGGTGGCTATGGTAAATACTATAGTAGAAACCAGCTGAATCCTTTTTTTTGGATGTATGTGGGGGGTGGGGGGCAAGGATTTGTGGTTCTCACAATTTAGCAACTGCCTAAGCGACCTACCAACTGAGCCAAACTGATAAGGTAGACTTTTCAATGGAAGGACGTACATTAACTAATTTTAGAAATTCTAAAATTTGGCAGATTTTGTCCTGGAAGGCAGAAAATCCTGTGACCTGAAATTTCACTTGGTCTTAGCTTGTCGTATTATTTTGTGTGCCAGGTTATTTCCAGTATAAATTTGTTAACTGAAGCTTTAAACAGATCGCTCTGTGAATGCAAAATTGCTTCCTGTTTTGCTGTATCTAAATCCCATAAGGATATAGTGAAAAGATGGTTATTTTTAGCCAGCGGAATAAAGACACAATAAGAATTTTGTCCACAAAATACACAATCAATATATTTGGTATATAATAGCACTTTGAGATATCTCAATGACGTGATAAGGGGCTATATCAAATGCAAATGGGTGGCTATGGTAAATTCTATAGTAAAAACCAGCTGAATCCTTTTTTTTGGATGGATGGATGGAGAGAGAGAGGATTTGAGGTTCTCACAATTTAGCAACGGGGTTACATTATTAAGGTAGATGTATCGACATGATAATCACACAGCTCAAATCAAGCTTGAAACTTCTTCAATGAGTGTATGTATTTTTACAAAACGTATCTTACCAAAAAGTTGTGCATAATGTATGTATATTTTTAATAGGATCATCTCAGGCACCTCCACAAAGTTCCCCATCACTGTCTGGTCCACCACTCCGGCCTTCATTCCAAGGCCCTCCACCACAGCAGTTTTCACCTCTAAGTTCATCTTCTACGTCCCAAGGTTTTCCTGGTTCACCTCCTGCCTCTTCAGCTGCAGTACCTCCTGGAATGACTGCTTTGCCACCTACAGGAATGCCGGTTGGACTTGCTGCGCCCAATCAAGGCAGTGCTAACTACCAACAGGCTCCAGGCCAGCCCCCCATGCCCATGCCTGGATACATGCCGCAGCAAGGTAAATGTCTACTTTTAGCTAGGAACTTACAGCCAGTGCCTTGGGACTGAAAGGCACTATACAAATGTAATTTTGTGGCTGTTCTTGTACAGCTCTTATTATCAATGTGCATCTGAATATAGATCAGTTGATAGTAATCTGAATCACTACTGACTAAACTCAACCCAAAATGCACAGCTGTTTTGTAAGGATGTAGATTTATCTCCACTGATTTTTTCAACCTTGATACTGAAGTATGCTTCGCAGTTGACCTGGAACTTCGCTATTTAAAAATTGGGAGGATGTCCCAAAGTGCTTAACGCTAGCGGCTGTGCTTTTCTTGTTGGTAAAGTAAATTGCAGGCTGAAAAAAACAACAACCATTTAGCAGTCTCAACGAATGAGATTGATGTGGTTATTGCATACTTAAAGGGTTTACTTTAAATAGCTATTTATGTTAAACAGTTAACTGGCTCTGGCCTCCTGCTGTCCCTTGTCTGCTCTGCTCCACCATCGGCAGGAGTGCTTTCAGCCATTACACTCCAAAGCTTTGGCGATCTCTCCCCCAATCCCTCGGCCTTCCTCCCTCCTTCCCCTTTTATAGATTATGAGTGAAGACCTTGCTCTTTGACCGTGTTTATGGTTGCCTACTCCCTTTGCCCAGCTCGACATCAGGCTCCACTACTGTTAAGCACTCCGAGTACCTGTCCCAGATAAAAGGGGCGATATAAATGCTGCTGTTATTGTTAACAATTAGTTATTTTAGCCCTTTTTTTAAAAAAAACACAGGTTTTATAAGATTTAATGCAAATAATTTATGTGAAATTGGGAAATAAACTACACTTTCCAGTGTTTGCTTCTTTCCCTTTTGTTTCTAGGTGGAATGTACGGAGGCCAACAAAGAGGACCTCAGCCCAATTACCCCGGTGCTTATGGTGCACAACTTGCTGGTCCTCAACAGAAGAAACTGGATCCCGACTCCATCCCAGCCCAGTATGTACCATTTAGTGAAGAATGTACTTTGCAAAGTATTATGATGGACCATTTGGATCTATTATATTGCCATGTGTATAATTTCATCATAATCTAAACTTTGTCTTTCCCCTGCGTACAAGGTCTTTCTCTATACTTTTTTTTAACCTACTCAAGAGGAAGCTGATTCCCTAAGACCTTTCCCAGCTGTTGCTTTTGTGTAACCCTAACATTATTTTCTTTCAGTAAGTGTCCTAACCATATCCAAACCAGAGAATAATGAGGACTAGTCCAGTGCTTTGGGACATCCTCCCGACATGAAAGGCGCTATACAAATGTAATTTTGTGGTTGTTGGTGTTGTGGACGGAACAAACAGAAACACAAAATTTCAGCATTTTTTTTAAATGTCCATATTTGTGTGCTGCATCATCCTGTGGACTCAGTCTTTAACTAAGCATTGATGTACTAATACATAATGCTGCTAAGTATTTTCACCACTAAAGATGTGTGGGTCTGAATTTACTCTATTCACATTGCATTTCCTAATTCGTGAAATTCTTAAACATAGTCTTTTAAGTTGGTATTCTGTAAGTTATTTTAAAATTACAGAAAACGAGCTTCAAAGTTAAAATTTAATTTAATAATTTGGTAAATTTTGCCCACTCTTAAATGTTATGTTAAAAGAGTAAATCTAGACCCAGTTGGAATTTCTATCCAGTGATTTATAATTTCGAAGCTCATCTTACACTTTTTTCTAAGGTTTGCAACCCAGCCATCATGTACATCGTCATGTGTTTATTGAGTATTTAAAAATATTAACTTGAAACTCTCCTATTTTATCTCTTTTTCCATGTATTACATCTGGTCCCAGTTAATGGAACTTTGGAACCATTTTGGATTCTAATTTTAACATAACATAACATGTAGGAGCAGGAGTAGGCCATTCGGCCCTTCAAGCCTGCCCCGCCATTCAATCATGGCTGATCTTCTAATCTAACTCCAGCTAATAACCTGACCCTGCCTTATCCCCCTATCCCTTAATCCCTTTTGCAATAAGAAAACTATCTATCTCTCTTGATTATGTTCAAGGACTGAGCATCAACAGCCCTTTGGGGTAGTGAGTTCCATACATTCACCACCCTTTGAGGGAAGAAGTTCTTCCTCAACTCAGTGCGAAAGGGCTGCCTCTGATTTTAAGGTTGTGACCCCTGGTTTTAGTTTCTCCAACCAAGGGATACAATCTCCCACTATCTACTCTATCATGCCCTTTGATGATCTTATAGGTTTCTATAAGATCCCCTCTAATTCTTCTATATTCTAGAGAAATTGGTCAGCCTATCCTCGTAACTCATCCCCTTCATCCCTGGCAAGAACATCCTTCCTTAAATAAGGAGACTAACATAATCAATCTGCATGATGTTTGATTGTCTGAGGTTATTATCTTACTTCTCATTGCTTCAGCTGAGTCCAAGAAGGAGATTCTAGTCTTCTGAGGTACCAGACCTGACTCCTAATCTCTATTTTAATTCCTATCTATTTATCTAGCTTGTTATCTAACCTTAACTTTGCTATGATCAAGCCATTTCTTGACTAAAGAATATAAGAAGAAGAAATTGTCAAATAATTAAGAACCATTTAGCCAATCAATGCCAGGCCTCCCACATACCACGCAAATTCTACCCCATCCATCCACCCACCCGGCTTTTGGGGGTAAGTTCTTTGTGGAGACTCCCTGATCCCCAAAGATAATCATGCAAAACATCAACATATTCATCCATCTCCACCCTGCTTTCCTCCACAAACAATGTTTTGAAATCCTCTGTCCCATTCCCTAAACCTCCTTCTTTCAGTTGGGGGAGTGGGGTAGGTAAGCGAGCTCTCCGTGCAGCTAACCTGACTCAAAAATGTTGTCCTTGGCATTAGAATGTCAGAATTGAGTAAACTCTCTGTGGCAGTCTCGATGCTCATTGCTGGAATCCAGCAGGTCCGAAGAACAGGGTGACCAAAAAGTTGTGATATCTACCTGTTATCTAAAATATATATATATCATTTTTTTAAGACTTATTAGACATTATATTGGTATCACGACTTTTTGGTCACCCTGTATTAAAAGGGACTCTTACTTAAAGACTAGATGGCATAGCATGTTGATGGGACTTGGTAGGACAGACTAGTCACTGACAGCACAGATTCTTCCTATTTAGATCCTCCTAACCTTGCAAGACAAATCTCTAATGGGTATGGCTTGCAGAATTAGGAGGAAATAAATAAGTGGTCCTAGTTTGACAATCAAGACAGAATTCGCAATAGCAAGTTCTGCAGTTTTAAGGCTTAAACTTCTAACAGTACCCCAACACATATTTAGGGGTACCCAAGCCTTGGTTCTTACCAACCAGGGCCTGATACTCTCTGAAGTTTCTTTGTGGCTTTCCCCACACTACCTCTGTGACCTTCTAAAACTCTACAAAACCACCCGCTCCCTCTGCTCGGCAGGCTTTACGACCTGCTTTACGACCACTGCACACCCAACCTTTGGTGATTGGCCCTTCAGACTTCCTGTCCCCACTCTCTGGAATTCCATCCCAGAGTCCCTTAATCTCGACCCTTCCCTTCCCTCCTTCAAAAGTTGCCTTAAGACCTTCCTCACCGTAGATGGTAGCAGCATAGGTGGCAGTAGCAGTAGCAGTAGGGTGGGGGACTGGAAGTAGAGGTTCGAAGGTCACAGAGGTAAAGTGGGGCAAGACCATGGAGGCTTTAAAACAACAAAATTACATTTGTATAGCGCCTTTCACGTCAGGAGGTCGTCCCAAGCTGCTGGACAGACAGACTTTTGGACTGAGCTGGGGGTTGGGATCAGGGAGGGTGGAGGGCAAGCGGGGAAGCAGGGAGATTGAAATCATGGTCGAAGAGGAGGGTCTTGAGATGGGTCTTGAAGGTGGCGAGGCAGAGGGACTACGAGATGGAGCTCCAGAGGGTGGGGCAGAGTGACAGAAGACCCACCCGCCAATAGTGGGTGAGTGAGGCGGGGCAACGTGAAGCAGGCCGGAACCCGCTGAGCGGAGGGAACGAGCAGGATGGTAGGGGGTTAGGTGGTCAAAAGAGGTAGGGGGGAGCAAAACCATGAAGGGCTTTCAAGGTGAGGACCAGGATCTTGAACTGTATTGTCTGTGTGATGGGAAGCCAGTGGAGTTGGGTGAGGATGGGGGGGGGGGGGGGGCGATAGGTTCACGGAGCCTAGTGCGGGAGAGGACACGGGCTTTAAAGGTGAAGACAAGGATCTTGAACTCAATCCTCTTGGGGTTGGAGAAGGGGGAGGATGTGGGAATGATAGGCTCACAGAGCCTGATGGGGGAGGTGACCTCAGTTTCAGAGCTCTGGAAGGTCTGCAGCTTGTGGAGGGAAGAGTTGGGAAGTCCGCCGAGCAGAGAGTTGGCATTGGCAAGCCTGGACGTGATGAAGGCAGCCTGATAACAGATACAAAGTGAGGTTTATTTTACTTTCCATTCCATTTTCTCTGAACCTTTTAAATGCACAAAGAAAACAGACTTTTTAAATGCAAAATGTAATAAGGAGCTGGATTCCAAATGTGTGAACCAATGAGGATACCATGCCATAACGACAACAGTTTGCATAGCACTCCTCAAGTAGGGTAGCATTCCAGAGGGCTTGGCAGTGGCAGAGAATAACGCTGAGCCGGGGTGGAGGTGACTATAGGCATGGTCGAAGAGGAAGGTCTTCGGGTGCCATCTGAAGAAGAAGGGGAATGAAGGGGAAAGGCAAAGGATAGAGGAAGTGAGTTCCAGAGTTTCGGAGTGTAGTCGCTGAAAGCGCAGCCACCAATGGTGGAACGGAGGGCACAAGGGACAAGCTGGAGGCCGGAGCCAATTGAGTGGAAGCAGCGGGTAGTGGGTTGGGAGTTAGGAGGTCAGAGAAGTAGGGAGGTGCCAAGACATGAAGGGATTTGAACATGAGTGTGAGGATCTTGAAATCAATCCGTTCAGTGATAGTGAGCCAGTGGTCAATGCTTGACTGTGGCAACTATTACTAATGGTGAAGGCCTCACCAATACATATTCAACTGTCAATCAAAATTGATACTTAAAGACATAAAAGTACATGCTATTTTATTGTGCCTTATCAATACTTCAAAGCTCTTGACAGGTAATTCAAATTCATTGTAGTAACTCCATTTATATGCAATCAATTGATGTACACAAGTCATTATACTGTTAACTCACAAGCAAAACTGCATCCCTGGCTTTGCTTGTTAGCCATTTCGTTTCTGAGCAGCCTTTGTAATTATTTTCCAGCAGTTGGAGAGGACAATATGAGTATCGGCTAAATCTGATTTGGCAGTAACTCAGCAAGCACAAACCTGGACAACATTTCCAGCTGCAGTTCAAATGAAGCAAGAGTTTGTCATGTTGCTTTCCAAATATTTCCAAAGCTTGGGATCAGCAGTATCAACCACGGTGTGAACCCCCACAGTGTAAAATCATGAGACAGTACTTCATACGTTTCGGTCACGACAACAAAAAAGGAGCACTCCAGGTCCTAAAGGCAGAGCAAAAGACAGGAGAACAGTTAATACAATACAAAATTACAATACAAAATCACATTTGTATCACATTTCTTTCACATTGGAAGGACTTCCCAAGGCGCTGGATCCCCAATATTAGAGAGATGAACTATGAGGAACAATTAGATAAGCTCTTGAGCCTTGAAAACAGATGTAACTCAAAGGAAACCTTATAATCCAAGTAAATCCAGAACAATATTTTCAAATATGCCAAGGTAGCAAGACAAGAGAATTTTTATGCCAAATATGCCAAGGTAGCAAGACAAGAGAATTTTTAAAAATATATAATTTTAGAAATTACAGCAGGAAGTATTTCTTCATACAGATGATAATAAACAGATGGTAATAAACAGCTGGAATGTATTTTATCAAGAAGAATAGTGGAAGCCAGGATACGTGGTGCTGTAATGGAAAGATGTTCGGGTTGGGATGATATTCTGGAAGCATGAGGTCAAATGTGTCGAAAGGCTTTCTTCATGTGAACTTCCCTGATGAAGATTATCCATTTCATGTCATGTTTTCAGTATATGCTCAGAAAGCAGAAATGGTGTGTCTAAGCAGCTGATCAGTTTGTAACAGTAAAACAATTAAATATAGTGCTTTGTCAATTGGTTCTTTATCTGGGGTGGTTCTAAATGAACCCATAGATGAAGTAATAGAGTTCAGGATATGTCTTAGCTGAAAGTGCAACAGAGAAATTGTGGGCTCTAGATATCTATAAATGGGTGGTACAGGAGCTATCTGGAATCATCACTAGTCCGTGATGACCCAATAAGACCTGAATATTACTCAACAACAACAACTTGCACTTATATAGCACCTTCCTTGCAGGGTAGCGTCTCAGAGTGCTTATTAGTGGCAGAGCCTGACTCTGAGCCAGAGGGAGTGGGGAGGTGGCCGTAAGCATGGTCAAAGAGGAAAGTTTTTAGGCAGGACTTGAAAGAGGGGAGAGAGGAGCAAGGCGAAGGGATTGAGGGTGTTCCAGGGGAGTAGTGGCTGAAAGCTCCACCTCTGATGGTGGGGCGGAGGGTGAGAGGGAAGAGCAGAAGGCTGATGCCAGTTGAGCGGAGGCGCCGGGTGGTGGATTGGGAAGTGAAGAGATCAGAGAGGTAGAAAGGTGTCAGAGAGTGAATGGATTTGAACATGAGAGAGAGGATCTTGAAGTTGATTAATCAGCAAGATGAAGTCAGTGAGCCTTTCTGGTGCAGACACAAAATGGTACATCCATTGCAAAGTTTTCACCATAATCCTGGAATCAGGATACAGAACTCTGTAAATTTTAATAGGCTATTTGTGAAGTAAAGCCAATTCCTATTAGCATTCTTTTGAACTGATAAAACATTTCAAAATGAAGTTTCTGCATTCTGTCAAGCAGCACCTCACAAATGAAGGACTCCTATTAGTTTTTTAACTCTTTGGGTACCACATCGTTTATGACCACAAAACTAACAGGATCACAATTATTTTTCTTTGTATACTATATAATATAATATATATAATATATTAATATGGAGTTCCGACGGTGTATTTAATGTGCATTTGCATGGAAAATAAACAGTGGCTGGCAGTATTTTACAAAGCTACAACTTTCTCAAGGAGTTCACTTAACATTGTATATTAGGAGAGAGTCTCTGGAAAGCTTTTCCACTCAGGAAAGTGAATTTTGAATAGTTTACAAAGACTAAAATACATAACGTGCCCACAAAGTGTTTTATATAAAAAATGTTGACAAGTTTTCTTTAACCTTTTCTGATCATTATGCATCGGATCAGTTTCAAGATCAAAGTTACATACAAATCACTTCACGCCCGAGTACCTCCCTATTTCTCCGACCTGCTTACGCCCCATTCCTCCACCGCCCCCTTTGCTCAGCTGTCTCTGAACTTCTGCACGTGCCTTGTCCCCTCCGCTCAGCAATCAGCGGCGGTGCGTTCAGCTGCAATGCTGCAAAACTCTGGAACTCTGCCTCAATCCCTCCACTTTGACCCTCTTTGCCCATTCTGCAGATTGCATATGAAGACTTTCCTCTTTGACTGTGCCCATTTTCTCCTCCCCTCTCCCCCTGGCTCGTCATCAAGCTGCATCACTGTCAAATGCTGCAAGTTGCAACCAAGTGTGAAGGACGTTATATAAATGCAAGTTATTGTTATATACAGAGGTGACATTGTTTGCAGTAGCACAGAACCCATCAGAACAAGTGTGTGTTTTGTGTAACATTGGAACAAGTAGAAAATGTCTGCTCCATGTGAACCACACTACGATATTGAAACTGTTGTTTTAAAAGGAGTACTATTTTTTAAAAAAAAGCATGTTGTGATTTCTCAGTGATGGGTCAATTGTTTTTAATTAAATGAAATACAGAGCAGTCACATTATTGCACAAATTTGGTTATAATGTTATAATGTGGTTGCGTGTGGACCCCATTAACTGAGTATGTATGTAGCTGGGCTGCTCGCTTCCTGCATGCCAGTTGCATTTTGCTGTTAAATTGATCATGCATCTCGTTATGCCTTCTCCGAATATCTGCTGACTCCTACGATTGCCAGGTGGTGCTGGTGCTCAAGATTGGGTCAGCTGGCTATACGCATGCTCAGTGAGAACAGCTATAACACTTCTTTATTGCTGGGATTTTATGGATCCCAAGCACCGTGTTACAATGGGATTTAATTTTATTGCCCTGATGTGGTAAGAACTGTTTTAGTCTCCTGATCTTTTGTTCAATGGTGTGTTTTGAAAATTGTAATTAGCCATACGTCGAAATCAGCGACTATTGTAAATTAAAACCTCAAATACAATGATAGGTGTCAGCAGTGAGCAAATTTAGTACTAAGAGACGTGAAATTGAGGCATATCCAGAGCTACTTTAGTTGTTAAAGTATACAGAGTTACATCTAACATATCAAAACAAGTAATATAATAATAATAATCCTTGCACTTGATATAGCGCTTTTCACGTCTTCTAGATGTCGCAAAGCACTTCACAGAATATACTGTAAAGTGAACTTACTGTATATTTGTGGGCGAAATGTGACAGCCAATTGCACACAGCAGTGTGCCACAAACAGTTGTGGATTGAAGTGACCAATTTATTATTTTGTTTCTTGAGGGATTATTATCAGGAGTGTGGAGTAAGGAAACTTACCCAAGGTTTTGCCTGCAGGAATCGAACCCAGGTCTCTCGTTTGCGAGGCTAGTGCTCTAACAACTGAGCTTCAGGACTCCAATATATTATATATATAATATATTATAATATATGAAACAAAAATGCTTTGATTCTTGCAAAGGTAGTGGAAATTGCTGATTGAAACTTTTGTTTGGCTGCCGTTTTGAGTTATTCATCTGTAAACTTGTTTTATTCTTTAGACCCAGGTCATAGAAGAAGATAAAGTTCGAAGATTGGGACAGATTTTTACAACGAATATCAAGGGTCAACTTCCTCCACTTGTTACGACAGACTGTGTGATACAGGATCAAGGTAATGAGGTTGGATTTTTTCATGTTAAATTGTTGAATAAATCATTGTTTTTAGGAGCTTTGGAGTGCTGAAACATAATTTTGGTTCATTGAATAGCAGTATTATTTATACATTTGTAATTTGACTATTATGGTGTAAAATTCTGATACTGAGCATTGGGATATTGAGGGCACGTTTGGGCATTTTTTGCACTGGGTGTGTGTTCGCTAGGAATAACACCCTGAGGTACGAAGCAATGTTTCATTGAATTCAGCATTTATTGGCTCCTAAACCAATCATAGAATTATACAGCACAGAAGGAGGCCATTTGGCCCATCGTGTCTGTGCCGTGCAATTGTCTGTGCAATCAGAAGATGAAAAACACAAGTAATTTCTTCGCCAGCTCAACAAGCTACTGAGCCATAGGAACCAAACGAATGGGAGTGGCCAAGACAGGCTGACAAGCTCAAAAATTGAGATGATGTGGGAATGCCTGTACTATAATGTCATGAGCATGCACAATAAGAGGGAGCACTTAGGCTCCCCGATGCCTCCTATGAAGACGCAGTGTGTCACACGAGTGGCCCACACACAGCCCTAGAAATACTAGAATACATGCTCACCAAGTGCCACCCCAATGTATAAGAATGATTATATAATTTGGTGATGTGCAATGATGTTCAATTAGAATAAAGGTTAAAGCAAATAAGGTCATGATGTCTGATATTATTGTTGCTCTTTGGGTGTTATGCAGCCACCAGTAATGTCAGCACCATCACATCCAATGCATGAATATATGTTAGCATAATGATACAGGAGGCATATGAGCAATTCAACACTACTGGTACTGCATAAACCTGTAGGAGATTAAGTGATTTGTTGACTATGTATCCGCACCAGCTCAAATCCTATTACATAACACAGCAGCTTTATTAAATATGTATATAATAATAATGATAATAATAATCCTTGCATTTGATATAGCGCTTTTCACGTCGGGAGGACGTCCCAAAGCGCTTCACAGAACACACTGTAAGGTGAATTGACTGTATATTTGTGGGGGAACGCGGCAGCCAATTGCGCACAGCAATGTCCCACAAACAGTCGTAGATTGAAAATGAACAATTTATTATTGTTTTTGGTTTTGGAGGGATTATTATTAGGCGTGTGGAGTAAGGAAACTTGGTATGGTTAGTAATATGGTTAGTAATGGACTTTTAAAAAAAACTTTCACAGCATAAACCCATACCAGTGCAGATTTGTGAAGCTCTAGCCATGTTTCTTGGTTCTCGTAGAGATAGAGTCTTAAAAGAAAGAAACAGTAGAACCGTGTCACATTCTGAAGCGAAGTCCATTGGTGCACTATAAAGAAGGTCGACAAATCCATATAAAATTCCCAGGGTCCATATTCTGAAGAAACTTACTTTCAATGAAGATTAAAATCATCAGATGGGTGTTTGGTGTCATCAATTCTTGAAAAGTCACTAGGGTATAGTGAAGATTGCCAACAACTGCTTCACACCCCTGGGGTGTCATTATGACCAAACATTTCCAAGGCAGATCTCAGCCAGCAATGCCTAAGTACTGGGAGAGACAGCTTTCCCATCAAGACAGTTTTCTACTGGTCCATCGTTGGAAAGTTTACCAAGCTGTCTGTAACTTCAGAAGTCTCATGTATGTGGATATGCCTGAACTGCTTGACTCTTCAATATCTAAGTTCTCATCCTACTGACTCCTATCATTGCCCCCAGGGCTAGCTTCAAACTGTTGGCAGATACCACAATCACTGCAAAGGGCTATGAATATTGCCACTTTTACAGGAGGGGTGGTACACATGTTGCCAGATGTCACTCAGAAGATCTTCTACCTGGATTTTAGGATTTAGGATGCGTCGGAACATCTGTGGAACCTAGGGCGTTTCAGTAATGGTCAGCTTGTGGCTGGATATTCTTGCGGGTAGATTTAGCTTCAATCTTTCCTCTTCGAGTGCTAAAGTAGGAACGATACTACAATTTCTTCTTTTCAGTATTTCACTTTCTTCTCTAATCACTTCTACAAACAGCCAGCTCAATTTGAAAGCTATTGTATAAGTTCTTTTAAAAGTTACCGATGTTAATACAGTGGAGAAGGATAGAAAGAAACCATTTATTAGGACAGCCAAGTTTCAAGCCATCTGAATTGTCAAAAATGTCAAGATAGGCGCGCTATGAATGGAGTTTTCTTCCTGATATTTTTCCCCCTCAGTTTTCGCAGATAATTTCACATTTGATTAGGATGTGAGTGTGGCATTGAGAAGATGAGAGGTCTGTTTCTCATTTGTGACTTTAAACCTCAATGTTTATTGGCCCATGTTCATCCATTATATTGCTTCTGAACCTCCAACAAATGTACTTTGTGAACAAGGGATATTAAATACCTGGAATACGAGGAATCAGAGAGCACCAAAGGCATGTTTTGGTCAAAAATACAACTACTTAAATCTTTGAGCTGACCTATATTTTTTGTGGGGGGAGGTGGAAAGAGGCCCTCAAATAATCAGATGTAATTTCATGAGTAAACATGCACAGCTTCACAAATTCTCTGCCTAAAAACATAATAATATTTTCTTTTAATCAGTATTTCAATGGTAAATGGACGCCTTTGTTTTTCTCTTACATCAGAGAAGTAATTTACTGCCATTTTGTAATCTGAAACAAGCTAGTAAGACAGTAATAGCCCTAAATGGGCAATACTATGCTATATCCAAGCTTGGGTAATGCAGTAGAACGTTTTTGGCTTCTTAACGTATTATATTTTGCATTCATATGCCTAGATGATTAAGAGATTTATTAGAGACTGCCTGTATTAAAAAATCTCCCAAATAGGATCTGTCTGTTATAGGACTATACAATAGCCAAGAAAACTTGGATCTCATTCCAAGTGTGGCTAAATATTCTATTATATACAAGTTTGTTGGAAAATGCCATTAAGATTTTGTTATTCTTATTTTGGGGGAAAAAAATAGTGTCGGCAAGTATTGCACATGCTTTGTGCAATATTTTTATAGACAAATGTGGCAGCTAATTGCACATATTGTTACAAGTTCAGAAATAACAGTGGAGTAAATGAATCGGCGCATATGTGTTTGTCTTTTATGACATTTATCTGTCATAATAGTAGTGAAGGTGTAACCAAAATAATCCCCACATTTGATATAGCACCTTTTATGTCTGGAGGGCATCTCAAAGCGCTTCACGGGTTTTAATGTAAAGAGTAATGACTGTGTATTTTATAGACGAATGTGGCAGCTAATTTTGCTCACAGCAATGTCTCACAAACAGCCATGAAGTGACTGACCAATTTTGTTAGGGAGATTGTTGGCCGAAACTCCCTCAACATCAGTTACCATCTAAATGACCAACCCAAAGATCTTAAAATAAGGAGGCTCATTTTTGTGACAAGAATATAATTTGAAGAAAGAATAGGAACATGGTGTTGTGCTGTGGACCACAGATTGACACAGGAAGTTCAGAAATATCCAGCTGCATGGCAACTTCTGCAGCCACATACCCACGAGTGCCTCTAGTGCTATTGCCTGGGACTGAACCCAATTAAAAAGTGTTGGAACAGATGGGGGTCCACTCCTTTGACCCCATGGAGGAGCTTGGCAAGCCTTATGAGGATAAGCCATTTGAAGATCGCTTTGATGTAAATGCTGTTTTTCTGTTGGCTGACTGCCACCTTGATGAGAGATTGGTAGGAGCAAAGATTCTCTTGAGTTGTGAAGTGATGTTGGGCAATATGTCTGCGCTCAACTCTTCAAGAATTTATGACTCAAATGCATAATCTGATGATCCTCCACTACTTTGGAAGATACTTTGCTGAGAGTGCAGTCCCCAAGTTGATACAGATTCCTGAACTTTCTCTGCACTCCTAATGATGCCCTGCTGGACATATAGATAATAACCCTTGCATTTGATATGGTGCCTTATCACGTCTTTGAGATGTCTCAAAGCGCTTCACAGAATATACTGTGAATTGACTCTATATTTTGTGGGTGAAACACAGCAACCAATTGTGCACAGCAGTGTCCCACAAACAATCGTGGGTTATGTGATCAAATTATTATTATTTTTACTTATTTTGAAGGGATTATTACCCTCGGAAAAGCATTCCGCCAATTGACTTAACAACTGGGTTCCTGCTTACTGCTAGGTAAACAGAGGCGTGTGGTGTAAGGATACTTGCCCAACATTTCGCCCTGCCCGGGATTAAACCCAGGTCTCTCACTTGCGAGGCAAGTGATCTAACCACTGAGCTACAGGACTCCAACTTTGCTTCTATCTGTGACATGTTAGCACACCTCTGAAATCGTTACCTCAACACCTTCAGCTCACCTCTTCTGTCTGTCTGTCCTACCTTAAGACCTACCACTTCTCTCTTGCTTGGCCTCTAACCCTGCTACTGAGCACTCTGAGATGCTATCCTGTGTGAAGTGTGCTATATAAATGCAGGGTGTTGTGCTCCACTTTATTAGCTTTAATTTAATAATAATAATTATCCTTGCATTTGATATAGCGCTTTTCACGTCGGGAGGACGTCCCAAAGCGCTTCACAGAATATACTGTAAAGTGAATTGACTGTATATTTGTGGGCGAACGCAGCAGCCAATTGCGCACAGCAATGTCCCATAAACAGTCGTAGATTGAACATGACCAATTTTTTATTATTGTTTTTGGTTTTTGGAGGGATTATTATTAGGCGTGTGGAGTAAGGAAACTTGCCCAAGGTTTCACCCTCTGCCTGGAATTGAACTCAGGTCTCTCATTTGCAAAGCGAGTGCTCTAACCACTGAGCTACAGGACTCCACCGAGTTCTCTTCCTTTGAAGAGAACCATGTAACGTATGCCTGCAAGTACATGTGCCTTCAGGGTTGTGGATCAACAATTGCTTGTGGCCTTGAACACCCATAGTACTCTGAAGTTTAATTTTATATAAAATTGTAATCTATCTCATTCGGATGCTAAAACCTGCGTGTGCAACGTTTTCTGGTGTGATTTCAGATTTTCAGAAATTTCTTTTTATCTGTTTCCCGTTTCCTTGATTTAGTTTCTTCACTGTTGTGTGATATTAGGGATTTACTTCTCCACAGAATCAGTAGAAAAGGGAGCTCAACTGATTGCCAACTCAGTACCAATCTCTGTAGTAGAGTGGTTTCGACTTGGAGTGAACATAAATAAATAACTCCAAACCGTTCACTGCAAATCTTTAACAAGTGTCACTGCAGTAGAATTTGTTTTAATGGTAACTTGGGAAGCCATAACCTGATAACTCCCTGTCTTCCTTCGACATTCTTTTATTTTATTTTTATTTTACTTTCATTTTAAAAAGCAAGAGACCTGGGTTCTATTCCCAGCAGGGTGAAATGTTGGCCAAGTTTCCTTACTCCACACGCCTCTGTTTACCTAGCAGTAAATAGGAACCTGGTTGTTAGTTGATTGGCGGATCGCTTTTCTAGGGTAATAATCCTTAAAAAACTCAATAATAATTTGGTCTCTAAATCCACGACAGTTTGTGGGACACTGCTGTGCGCAATTCGCTGCTGCGTTTCGCCACAAATATGCAGTCAATTCACTTTACAGTATATTCTGTGAAGCGCTTTGAGACATTTAGAATATGTGAAAAGCGCTAAATCAAATGCGAGGATTATTAATGTTTATTATTATATTATTTATAGTAATATTCTGACCAATGTAACTTTCCCAATCTTGGAGTTGGAGGTAATTTGTAATTGTAATCACGTGGTGCTGTTAATATACTGTGCTGGTAATATTGGTTAACTCAGAGATGTGCATTATCACTTTTAAAAACTTGGCAGGTAAAAAATAATCATTAATAAATAATCTTTTAGGTCATACAATCTTGTGATATAATCTTGAGTTTGTCAAAATAAGCGGGCTGCTCTTATTTACTTTTGCTGAGTACAGCTGAGGTCTTAGACGGTCCAAAATAATTTGTATTTGATTTCAGTTAGTTATATTTTAGAATTAATTATGCCATATAGGCTTTTTACCAAGGTTATTATTGTCCAATTGAAATAGATTCTGACTTCTCAAATGTTCTTAAATATTAGACTATTTGTGATAAAGCTTGTGTTGTGTCTTTTTCTGTTTTAAATTCTGGCGTATAGCAGAGACATAGAAACTGGGCCTATTTTTTATTGGAATAAAGAAGGTTGAAAGGAGATCTAATAGAGATCTTTAAAATTGTGAGGTATTTTAATACAATAGATGAAAAGAAATTATTTCCACTGGCCAGTGAGTATTGGCTGGAGAGCATCAATTTAAAATAGTTGTCAAAGGGCAGGTTGGGAGAAATTGCTTTGCAGAGTTATTAGGTTGTGAAATACACTGCCGGTTATAGTGGTTGAGGCAGGATCCATATTAGTTTTCAAAAGTGAACTAGATAGGTATCTAAGAAGGGGTAATTTACAGGGGTATGGGGAAAGAAAGGTAAGTGAGACTAAATGGATTGCTTTTTCAAAGCCAGCGCAGACATGATGGGCCGAATGACTTCTTCTGTGCTGCAAATTTCTTCGGTTCTACATCATTATTGATTTGTTACTGCAGCTGAATATGATTTACTTACTTTTTTCCCCCATCTGGAAATAACTTCTCCTTAACGTAAATCTTAGACTGAAGTACATACTTTGAAAATTCTGAGCAGTAAAGTGTTCTTTATTAAAAAGATAGTGGCCAGGAGTTCAGAAATCTGTATATATTCCTTAAATCACTCAACAAGCTTCTAGCTATATGTCAGAGCTATTTTTAAAAACTGTTGATAGTAAAAAAATCATGAGATTTAAATTCAGTTCTATCTCAGTTACAAACAATGTTACATGTTAAAACAAAATGGTTAACACTTCGAGAGCAGTGCTTTTTTTTATTAAAGCTGACATTGGAAACTGAAGGACCGGAAAGGATGACTTTCTAAATAAAACTAGTGTTTTTATTTTTCTAATTGCCACAGAGTGGGGGAACGATCGAATGATTTTTTCTGCTGTATCAGCAGTCATTTCAAACACTGACAAGCCAAGCAAAATATTCACCTCAGGAAAGCAGAGACTTGATAATTGTCTTCTGTGCTGAGGCTTTAGCTTTTCAAGTTTTAGATTTGAGGCAATTTTAATGTTGCAAATCCAAACTCAATGTGGATTTTAACTCAAGTCTGGAAGATTTAATTTCCTTTGTGACCCCAAAAGAGGGATTCTTGGCACTGGGGTAATGAGAGCAGAATTAATGTTGCGAGATGAAGTCATAAATTAAGGCTGATCAGGAATTTTGCCTTTTCAACTGTAAAGCACATTATCTCGCCTCTCTCGGGCTGTCGGGTAGAGTAATTTTTCTCAGGCCAATTCTCTCCATGATGATATCATCGTTGTTCACTGCCTGAAGACAAACATTTAAAAGATAACGCACAGAATGGGAAGGCAGTAGAAATTGATTATTGTGGTTTGTAATTTTGATTTTCATGTGGGTTAGTGATGGTGAGATACTGCTGCACATAGCTTTTAATGAAGGGAATAGCTTTATCCTCCCCAATCCCAACCCCCAGCTCGGGTCCGAAACTCTGTCTGTCCAGCGCCTTGGGACGTCCTCCAGACGTGAAAGGCACTAAACAAATGTAATTTTGCTGCTGTTGTTTATATAGGAAATAGCTGCACTTTTCACTTCTGGAGAAAGTACCAATGCTCTTCAAAGGATTCACTGTAAAGTGTAGTAAAGTAAAGTGTACAATTTATACTTACAACAAAAACTAACATTTATATTTCGCCCTTCATGCGGGGTAGAGGCTCAGAGCGCTTAACAGTTGTGGAGATGGATGCCGAGCCAGGAGGAGCAGGGAGGTGACCGTAGGCATGGTCAAAGAGGAAGTCAATGAACAATTTTATTTGGGGGATTGATTGGCCAGGATACCAGGGGAAACTCCCTTCCCTTTTTGAGTGATGCCATGGAATGATTAGCTTTCATTTGAACAGAACAGGCAGACGGGACATGTGTGACATTGTATCTGAAAGGGCAGCACCTCCCACAATGCAGTATACTCCCAGCACTGTTTTGGAGTGACAGGCGAGATGTGAGTTCAAATTCCCCGACCTGGGGCTTGAACCTACATTCTTCTGATTCAGAGACAAGAGTGCTACCAACTGAGCCAGGCTGACATGTTTGATTGTATAAAAGTCCACAGGATGTTGCAAGTATGAGAAAGGTGCTGGTAACGGATTAAGTTTCAACATATTTTTTCATATGTACTTTATTATGTTTTGAAGGAAATGCAAGTCCTCGTTTTGTACGTTGTACAACCTACTGCTTTCCGAGCACAGCAGATATGGCCAAACAATCCCAGGTTCCTTTAGCAGCTGTCATCAAACCTTTCGCAACATTACCAGCAAATGAGGTAAGAAAACTGCAAGGAAATAAGATCCAACATCCAAAAGTATTAAAATGATTGCTTTGATGCTGCTTTAAAGACATACCCACATGTGTGAAACTGTCATCAACCTCTTCCTCTCGGCTGACAAGTACATCCCCATTCAAAACCACCGTCATCACCTTCCTCCTCAAGAAACACTCACTCACTGGAATCTCCATGCACTCCAGCTACTGATCCATTTCATACCATTCCTCACCAAACTGCTGGAACAAGTCATCACCTCCCAGCTTTGCTCATTCCTATCTTTCCTGACCTCTCTATAAGACCCACAATTCCAGGACCGCTGCTTTCCTGTCAGACAATTCTTTATGAGTTCTAACTTTCTACAGCTCTATGTCGACAAGACCAGCTTGGCTCCCCTCAGTGTAACTTCGCCTCAGGCCCTGACCACCTCATCCTGCATGGATGCTCACTCCACCTTATGGAGCTGTTATGGAACTTCAGTGTCTAGTTTAACAGCCAGCTATCCTTGAAACCTTACATCCATGTTTTCACTTGCTCTGCTTTCCCCCAGCTCCACAACATTGCCTGTCTCCACTCTCACCTCTCTCCCGGGGTGCTGAGAACCTTGCTATCAACTTCCATTCCGAGAGTGAAAATTATGGAAAGTTAAGTTTACCAAAATTCCACAAAAAACATGAATTGAAATCGGTGGTTTAAAAGTTCAAGCAATGTTCTATATGTATAATAATAATAACATTATTGTGTAAATATCAGTTAAGAAACAGTTTGAAAAGAATTATTTATGGTTCAGTATAAGCATCTTCATAAACAAAAACAGAAATTGTTTGAGAATTGTTTTCAAGTTTGTTTGAACATACAGTAGTTTTTTGTTGCCGCAAGAAACGTATTTGAAAAACTGAAGGACATTAGTTGATGTCTTTTGACTTGAGAGTTGGTATTGAGAATATTTTTGTTGGTTATCACAAATGTGCTGTGTGTAAAGTATTTTGGTGATTTGGACTTGTTTTGCATTCTTTTATCCCAATTGAAATAAAACGATAAAAATGTTTTACTTAAGTCAAAAAAAGTGAAATGAAACCTGATAAGAAGCAAATGCAGCACTGATGAAAAGTGTACTATTTTAGTTCAGTGACCCTTAAACAGAAAGCGTTAAGAACTCTGCCAGTTACCAATCAGTTCACTGTTAAGTGATGAAAAATGTGCTCTAGCGATCATTACAACAAATGTAACACACCTCCTTGAAAGCTTTTCAGTTTTGGGTCCTGTTAATATCTGTTACTCTGTTATTCTTTTCATTATTTTAATTTAGTATTTTCCCCCATCCTACAATGTTCTCTCCTCTTGAAGCCACTGATTATTATTAATAATCCTTGCATTTGATATAGCACCTCATCACATCTTCGAGACGTCCCAAAGTGTTTCACAGAATATACTGTATATTTTGTGGGCGAAACTAGGCAGCCAATTGCACACAGCCTTGTCTCACAAACAGTCGTGGATTGAAGTGATCAATTTATTATTTTTTTAAGGAATTAAAAAATTCTTGAAGGATTCTTGCTGAGGTGTGGCTGGATCATAGGATGTTCCCTTACCCAAAGTGATCATTCTTCATGTGTGAGCCTTGACTCTTTCTCTGACCTCCCACCCTGTTAATTCATTTTGTGTGTATTAGAATATGGAATCATTTACCACATATAGCTGAGTCCATAACATTATTTAAAAGGGAATTGGATAATATTTGAGGAAACTTATAAAAAGGTATCGATTAAGAATAGTGGGATTGGATTTGAGTGTAGAATTTTTGTGGAGTGCTAGGACCAGTCATATTAAGGGTCCATTAAGACAGCTGGAGGAGCATCATTGTTGAAAGGATTAATTTTACACCATTAAACCCCATTGAGGAATAAAAGCCAAATTTTCATTATAATCATGGATCTAAGATTATAGTCTAGGCTGACGTTCCAAAGCAATGCTGAGAGAGTGCTGCATTGTCAAAGATGCTATCTTTCAGATGAGATATTAAACCATGTTTCTATCTACCTGTTTAAGTGGACGTTAAATATTCTAACATTGCTTGGCTTCTGTGTTTGCCTACAGATGCGCAATCACTACACTTTACAGAAACTTTGTGAAACAATTTGACATTCTTAACCTAATATGCACTATATCAAATGGAATGATTATTGTGATTATTATTAATGAGCAAAATAAGTAATTAAGACCACTATGATTTAAAATAAAACATTTTCAGTTGTAATGAACATATTTGGTAGCTATTACCTCTGGATCCTTTTACAATATTAAAAATGAATTATTTGGCACAGGACTAAAATATATGCATGTGGAATAGTGAAATTGTAGCCAACATGCATGGAGCAGGGTGATAACATCCATATGGTCTTTTATGTGAAATTGTCAGTGTCACAATGGTTAACACTGTAATGGGTTTGACGGTGGTACAAAAGATTGTGGTGCACTGACACCCAATCTGCATTGTGTGTGTCTATGGTGTAATGATTGCAAGAGAGGTGTGACGTATTTGGCATATGTGGGGAGCAGATAACTGATATGAAAAGATGTTGTTGATATCTGGGTGATCTAAATCCAACCAAATCTTTATGTCATTCTATGAAGGGCACATTGACAACTGTTAGCAATGTAATTTCTTAAACTAATAAGGTTTTGCTGTGAAAATCAACTCAGGTTCAAGTATTTGCAAATGATATAGCGCCTTATCACATCTTCGAGACGTCTCTAACTCTTCACATAATATATTGTATAGTAAATTGACTGTATATTTTGTCAGCGACACATGCGACAGCCAATTGCATACTGCAAACAAACAGTCAACATTATTATTCCATGACAAACAGTCATGGAATAATGTGACTGAAAGGTTTGTACGTAGCATCATAGAAATTACAGCACAGGAGGAGGCCATTCAGCTCAATTGAACCTGTGGTGGTGCTAATTCCTCCACTGGAGCTACCAATTCTAATCCTAATTCTCTGCTCCCTTCTTTTACTCTGTTATATTCCTCTTTTTAAAAAAAAGTGTTGCATCTATTACAGAACCCTGACAAGAATGCAATACTTGCAAGAACTGACACACTTCCTGTGTTGCAGATTACTTTTGATATCAAAGCAATTTTCTGTTTTATCCAAGCACAAAGATTCATTCAGATTTTTGTTTTGAAGGAAAGGTAAAATTATTGGCACTGGGTTCATAAACTGACCGGACTGGAGCTCCAATCCTCTTGTCAGCATCCCTTCACTAAGTAAGGCGATACTGCTTGTAGTTATGCCTTTGATGTTTCTTTTTAGTAGTTTCTCTCTGAGATCTCTGTCTCAGTTACATGGAATCCAAATATGTGGAGTATCATGGATGTAATTACTGAAGTCTGTGGATAAAGAAAATTGATATTGTGTTTAAGCCTGGCTCGGTTGACAGCAATGTTTAACCTGAGTCAGAAGTTGTTGATTCCAGCTCCATGTCGGGATGTTGAACTCAACAACAACTTGTATTTATATAGCGCTCCAATGCTGCAACGGAGGGCACAAGGGATAAGAATGAGGTACGAGGGACAAGCAGGGGGTCAGAATCAGTGAGCGAAGACAGTGGGTAGTGGGTTGGGGAGTAAGCAGTTTGGAGAGGTAAGGAGGTGCCGGGGATGAAGGGATTTGAAAAAGACTGTGAGGATCTTGAAATCGATTTGTTTGGTGATAAGGAGCCAATGAAGCCCGGATAGAACTGGTATGATGGGGGTATGGAGTTCAGTGTAAGTTGGTATGCGGGCGGCGGAGTTTTGGATCAGCTGGATCTTGTGCGTGGTGGATCTGGGGAGACCGTTTTGGCTGCTTCTTGGGTAAGGTATGGTCGGAGGTGGGCAATGTGGCAGAGGTGTAGGAAAGTGGGTTGCAATTCCTAGGTTGCATTTTGGTCCTGGTCAGGGATCAGATGAAGGGAAAGAAGGACAGCTGGAAGTTGTGCACCGGTTCAATGAGTCTGAGGGATAGGTCGGAGAGGTTGAGGAGGTCAGAGCTGCAGGGCATAAGACATTGACGAGAGCCAAGCCTTGTCAGCATTCAGCTGCAAGAAGTTTGCATTCATCCAGGCTCTGAAGCCTGCCAGACAAGCTGATAGAGCATCTCATGCTCTAGACTGACACTCCAATGCATTGATGTTCAAGAACCCATGGCACTATTTGAAAACAGAAGGGAGTTTCTCCTGTTTTCCGGAGCAACAATCCCCACCCAAATAAAATTGGTCATTCACTTTATGGCTGTTTGTAAGACTTTCACCTCAATAGTTCAGGCTGACAATGCAGTGCAGTGCTGTGGTTGTACTGTATTATTGAAGGTGTTGTTCTTCGAATGAGAAAAACTGAAGCCCGAACTGCCTGTTCAAATGATACTATTTGAAAAGAGAGGGGAGATTCTCCTGGTGTCCTGGCCAACAGTTCCTCAGATAAAATTGTTCACTTTGTGGGACATTGCTATGTGCAAATTGACTGCCTCATCCGTCTACAAAATACACAGTAACAACACGAGACAGCAATTCCTGGGTGGCATTTTGAGAAGTCCTCCTGACCTGAAGGGCACTGTATTAAATGCAAGGAGTATTATTTAACATTGTACTATTAGTAGTAATAATGACAGATAACTTTTTAAGACATGAAGATACAGTTATTAGCACATGACTGTAGCAAAATGGGTTTTGTTTGAGGATTCCAAGTAACTCAGTGTGTAAATGCAGCACCTGTGCAGCAATAATGGCCAGGAAGATTACAGGTACAATTCCAGGTTTGTGCTAATGTGGAGTCCTGTAGCTCAGTGATTAGAGCACTCGCTTTGCAAGCGAGAGACCTGAGTTCAATTCCAGGCAGAGGGCGAAACCTTGGGCAAGTTTCCTTACTCCACACAGAGCCTAATAATAATCCCTCCAAAACCAAAAACAATAATAAATTGGTCATTTTCAATCTACGACTGTTTGTGGGACAT